ACCATGGGGGGGGGAGGGGGGGGGGGCGGGCGACGCTGCACCATATATATATATATATGTCCTGGAAGGAAGGCGAGGGCGACCAGGATGCCTTCTCCACTGTGCCTGGCCGGCCAGGCCAGCCGGGCCTTGCGTCCCGGGCGCGACCGACATGGAGAAACGTGTGCCGCAGGAAGCGCCGGAACGGCTGTGAGAGGCAGCCAGCCAGGTAGCAGGCGAGCATAACCTGGAAACCGCAAGGTTTGAGTCTGAGCGCATGGAAACTGGACGCTGAACTCAACATCACAGTGCAGCCAACGCACGCCAAGAACATGCAAGCCCTCCCGTGGCAGCAACAGACTCTCCACCCTCCTGGTGTCCAGAAGACCACGCAGGATATCCAGCACTCGCTGCTGCGCCGCTACCTGCAGGAACTCTACCGTTCTCGAATTAAGAGCCGCCTACCAGAACCATGTGATGAGAAGTCTGCTTGACTTTCTGGACAACAGCATCTACAGCCCAGCTGCCAGTATTCCGGCAGATTCTGCTGAGGGCACTGACCCAACGCCCCATACCGCCGTCACAAGCTCCTCCAAGCTAAAGTCCTCCATTTCTGCGGTGAGCTCTCCCAGGCACCTGTGGTTGTTTGCACTGTGCTCGGGCTTCGGAGGAGCTGCGGGGCCAGAGCTAACAGCCTGCTAGGTCTCTTCTTTCCGGTTCGAGCGCCAAGCTGCTGTATAAACCCGATGCGGGCAGAGGTAGCACAATGCTCCGTTTTGGCGCAGCATACTGTCGAGTTAGTGGCACAAGATGAGCGGCGCTTAAACAGCAAACGAACAACATGGACATTGGAAGGTCCAGGTAAGGCCTACTTAACCCTGAACCCTAAGCGTAAACTGCAAAGTTGATGCGGAGGAGAACCTTACCTCTACAAAACAACCCTCTGAAAGGCCCCCTGCCTGTGGAAGGTTGGATTCACCGCACCAAGCGTAGATCCGGACGACCAAAGTGAGGCAAGCTCATTGCAAGAGATCTGACCTGGTGTCGGCGTGTTGCGTTTCGACTCGCACGCTCGCATAGGGCCTGGCATATTTCGTTGCCTTTAGTGTGAAGGGCTTAAGCTTGTAAGGATACAAGGGTTGAAGGGTTGTGACGCTTTTTTGCAACCCTCTTTCTAGAGAGCTGTCAGGGGGCTTCGGGCACTGCGCAGGTGCAGCAGAGCCCTTCCGCAAGCTTCCTGGATCACCTCTGCCTCGGACGTACCCAGCAAGGCCAAGCCCCAGAGAAAGGCACTTGGCGAACGCTCCTCGGAAAGGCCAACGGCCCAGTTGGACAAAGTCTAGGGTCTGTAGGGCTGAGTTTAGGGCTTGGCTCCCAAAACCCTAAAGCTTTTTCCCTCCCGCATGGCAAGGAATGCAAGGTTTAGGGCCTGGTTCGACTCTGACTTTCGCATAAGCTCGAAGGTTTCAGGATTTGGGCGTTGGCCGAGGCTCACTGGACACCAGAAGCAGCCAGAGATGATCCAACTCCCCGGAGCTCTCGCAAGCAACCATGGCCGCATCGCACACGACAGGTGTCAGCTGCGTCGTCCGTGCGCGAATCTGGTCCACCAGGTTGATTGCAAACCTTGCAGCCGGTAAGAATGCTTTCCCTCTCTTTCTCTCGTGGGCTTGTTTGAAATCTCCCTCTGCAGTCGAGAAGCTTCCATGGCACTCTCCCCGCTGCGAGTGCCGCGCTGTATGACCGAACTGTAGGCGGCAGACCCTCCTGTCAAAGGCTGCCAGGGAAGCAACTGGAGCCGCGCTGAAATGCACCAGCCCTGGCGTTCATGCACGCAATTTACAACCAGGAATAGAAAGCAACCCACCTACATGCGTACATACAAATATACCTTGTCGCGACAGCAGGCTGCGCCGTGTGCTGCATACACGACAATACTACAGCAGACAAGGGCACACCACCTCGGTACTTCACCGGAAAGTAGTGCATACAGCAAGCACAACATTGACTCATGCTGTAACATGTTGCTGAGACTGCTCCCACCTTGTACATCTCCGCAAGGATTTCGCCCGCCACTGCCCAGCGCCCAGCACAGGCATCAAGCACGCCCCAATGTGCAACGATATCCAATTCCACCTCAATTCAACATCAGCTCTAGCAGTTCGCTGCACTTGTGCATCCTCAAAAGACGCAGCTGAATTAATTTCCCCCGACTTTGAACATTCCCAGCACGAAGAAATCAGAACCTCCACTGCAGTTCCCTTTCGGATCATTTGCCTGGGCTCGCCGACCGTCCGCGAATACCGCTGCAGCGATTCGCCAGGCGAATTCCGCAGCACAAGTTCGCGCGACAGTAGCGTAGGAGATGACATCTGCACCTGAGGGTGTGGGCGGCACAAGGCCGGTTTCCAGTCGCAACTTCCGGCAACCGGTTCGCGTAGCACTGCTGCTGCAATCATCCCGATGCAGAGGGAAGTGATGGTAGGAGATGTCGAACATGCTACGCGCGAGCACCTCAAGGCCTGCTGAGGCCGGTGCCTCCGGAAGTGAGGCTGCTGAGAAGCCACAGCGCGTGCTGCCATCGTCCGGCCTGTCCGCGATCTGGTCTCGCAGACGGACCGACACGAGAAACTCCAGAGGCAGCAGAGAGCCTGGCCTTGGCAAGGGCTGCCATGGCAGTGTTGTGTGCGATAGTGTCGCGTGGAAAGGACGCCTTCCCCATGTCCTTACGAGCCGAGCCCGGGCTAAGGGCCCAGAATCGATGCAAGGCTTGGTGCACTTCAGCCAGTCAGTCACTCGGTCCTCCATCAGCTGCAGGGCCACTTGCCATTGCGCACACTGCCCGCAGGCGCCTAGAGCTGCGTTGAAGGTCACCTCGGAAGTCTTCGTCGTTTCGGCTCCTTGGCCAAGGCTGAAAAGGCCAGGGCGCATTCGTGCACCTCCGCTCGCTCCGCGACAAAGCCAGAACCTCCAAGGCCAGCTCCCAGCGACCTCCCATCTCGCAGGCGCCGAGCCTCGAAAAGCAATCCCCTTCCCCGGCCCTTCCCCTTCTCCGTCCGCATAACGAGTGAACCATAGTCAACAACCAAAACCGCGAGAAGCAAAGATCGGAAGCCACGAGGCAGAGTGGTGTAGGTCGCGTTGCTCCTCAGCCACACTCAGCGACAGCAGCCACACATGTGTGGATAGCCACACCAAGAGTCTTCAGAGCTCCTGTACTTGCACCATGCACTTTCCTGCCTGACGCCCACAGGATTTCATGGAACGCAACCTGGATCACGACAGGACACTTCTCCAGACTCTCGGTGAAGTGGTCGGTAAAGATGGCCAAAGCCATCGCCCACTGAGCACAGCGTCCACATGCAGTGATGGCAGAGTTGAAGAGGATGGTGGAGCACTGCAGCTCCACAATCCACAACTCCTGCACTTCAAACGCACACTGCCCTGGTAACTTACAGTAGTTTCCAAGCCCCGATTTTTCTGGCTTGAGCGTCCTGGAGAAGATGCAGTGCCGAAGTCCAAATCAGACCCTGCCGGATCACTGTCGCGCTTACTATAGACCCTGTGATATGTGGCTCCGACATGAAAGCATCAAAATCGGAGCTGCTGTTCGAATGGCCACTGTTACTACGAGTCTCGGCCTTGCCTCGGCCGCTGCCATGATGGCGGTGCTGGTGCTGGTGGGATCAGGCGTCAGCCTCCTACTTGGTAGAGCTCACTCTGCTTTTGAGCAACCTCGCAAGTTGCGACACCAGTCACCAGACCAGGTCGACAAATCGGCTAGCTTCGCTCTGCACACGGGCTCCTACCAGCTTGTCCAAGTCGGTCATCGAAAAAGTCTCCGTGTCCCCCACCGGGTCCTTTGTGTGAGCGAGTCGTAGACTTCCAGCGCCTCCAAACGCATACCAGGTGTAAACGACAAACATGTAATGGCCTTGTACCAGTGTGGATTGCGGCAGTGCAGTTCTACTAATTTTAGCGTGGGCATAGAGGACGGGTGCCATGGTGCCTGAGACCACGTACCATCGGCCCACAGGGCCATCTTCGCGTTCTGCGCACCAACATCTCCTCCGCCGAGGGCATGGGGCCATGATGGGCCAGGATCGTGGGGAGGACCCTGCAGATTTCAGGAAACAGTTTGGCGGGATTCAGGGAGATCAGCAGGGACCACTTAGTACCTCTGGCCTACCTCCTGATTAGCTGTTAGCCTACAAGGCGAATCGAGGCATCGTGTTCTAAGTGTTCGGCTCTCTTCTCTAAAGCCCCTTCTCCAGGCTTCATGGCACGGTCTGTCGAGATGGTGGTGCTTTTGGTAGCAGGAGCGGGGCAGTGGCAGCTTCAGTAGGATCACGAGGAAGAGGAAGAGGAGGAGGAGAAGCAGGAACAGGAGCAGCAGGAGCAGGAGCAGGAGCAGGAGGAGTAAGAGGAGGAGGAGTAGCTGTAGAAGTAGAAGCCGTAGTAGCTGTAGCATCAGCAGCAGTAGCAGCAGAGTAGCAGTAGCAGAAGTAGTGCAGTAGCGGCAGCATCAGCAGTAGGAGGAGGAGGCAGAGAAGGAACAGGAGCAGGAGCAGTCTGCCTGGTCGTCGTGGCAGTGATTACCCGTCTGCGTCGGTATGTCCTAGTCGTAGTGGCGGGTAGAACAGTGGTTTTGTCACGAAAGCAGGGACACGAGGCAGACGTGGGTATAGGGAGGAGGAGGAGGGGGGAGGGGAAGGGGAGGAGGAGCAAGCGGGGGAACAATACCAGTTGTTGACGCAGCAGCAGTGGTAGGCAACTCATGGTATATAAGGAATAAAACGCAAACGCATGCGAGAGGCACGTTTTTCTGTTGTCGGAAATCAAGAATTCGTAGCGGTGCCCGTTTATGTTTCTGCCCTCCCTGCCTTGCTGCGCCGCCAGCAGAAAAGCCGCCAAAGGCCACGTAGCTCCGCTGATGGCATGAGCAGCAGCAGTGGTAGCCACGGCCTTGGGTTGGAGAAACATTTCCTCAGAAGTTACAGAAGTTAACTATCTAAACTCATTGCTGCCATACCGCGCGAGCATAAGCGTCCCATCATGCAGGCCTGGATTAAGTTCAGTTTGCTCTGATGGACAATAACCACCTCTGTCCAGCTGCATTCGACTGCAGCCGCCGGCTGCCGAGGCACGCCAGTCGCTCAAGGGCATTGCACCACCTTCGATCGCAAGTGCTAGAAAGCAGGATCGAAGAACAAATTCTGCGCACCCCTTGCGACTACGGGTCTGCGCAATTGAAACGAAGCCAACTGACCGCGCAACGACCACCTCAGGTGGTCCGTGTCCGGAGTGAAAAGCGAAGTCTGGCCTGTTGACCTGTGCCTCGGCGGCAATGACTGTCGACTGGCTCACCTTGATGGCAGCGGGCGCAAAGATTGTGCCGAGAATTTTGCATCCGCCCCAGACCAAAACCAGAGTCTACGTGAGCACGGAGGGAAAGTTGCGAGTGCAGGTGAACCCGTCTATTACTAAGACTTGATACCTGCTACCAGCACAATGGTAAGCTTCGCCCACAATGCTAGAAGTCAATGGTTCTGCTAATATAGGAGCCTGCCTCTAAATTGCAGACCATTCAAGTGCAAGTTTTCGGGAACTGTAATTAAACCTTTTCGATATCGGCCCTCGATCCGGCTCTGGAGCCTTGCCTAGCACTACCAGATCGAAAGGCCTCAAAATTCAGGAAGGTAATTGGAAAAACGGCAATGGAATCAGATTGACGTTTCTTGTTTCGGTCCCCCGACAACCAGCCACATTCCGCAACACACGCAACCCGCGTAACCTGTGGACAAGCCACGATCAGCGGCAGCCGTGCACGAAAGTGGCGACGAACTATAGTCATGCAACAGCAGAAACAACGTCCGTGTGACGGCAGAGGCAAGCATGACCCTGCACAGGGTACTTATCACAGTGAAGAAAAACCGGTATTGTTGACAGGTTGTTGCGGCTGCCGCGGCTGTTAATAAGCTTTGCCGCCCAAAGAAGCACAACACCACATCGGGAAATCAGCAGTACGCGACTGTAGTTTGAGGACGAACTGTTTCATGAATGAAGGGTTCTCCACCGGCAAGGGCCGGTCGTAATGAAATGTCATCCTCGCCAACTAGAGCCTATTGCATGTCTGGCAATGAAAGTTTCATCAGACCGAGCAGTTGCCGCTGACTGCGCGGGCACCCATACTGCGCCGAGGTGTCTTGTAACGTGCAGACGTGCTCCTACCATCAACCTCGTCGTGGTTGAGTCGCCAAACACGTCTGTGTCGGCGGGATCTCCCAACATGCCAGCAGCGGGTGTCCGTTGACAGTATTTGGCATCTTTGGCAACAGCTGCTTAACGAAGCTGCATTGGCTGGCATACACCAATAAGCCGACAAAAAAAAAACATGCCACACCATTTCCATGGCCAGTTACAGGGAACTAAGAGGCCACAGCGAAGCAGTAAAGGCAACCAAGCGCTGGCGGACACCAATGAGCAAGTGCGGACTCGCAATAACAGGATCAAATCATAACGACGTCAAATGAAAAGTCCGTGATGATACAGCCCAAAAAAAATATATATATATATACACACACACACACACCAGGTACCAGTTACAGATGCTAAGTAGCATCGTGGCCAACGCACATGACACATGCAAACCTCTCCAGGCTACTCCTCAAATCCAGGCCAACCGGCTGCCCCGATGATTCTGGCCAAATCGCTACCATATTGGTGCAGAACTCAGGGCCACACACGTTCACAGAGTCAGCCATCATCTGGATTACGCGACAAAGTCCAAGATCGAACTACGCTCCAGGCAAGTTTACTGGCGGCACTCACAAGTCCGGACGGGCTACACCTAAACCTCATCAGCGACACGTGACAAGGTTCACATGGCGCATGCATCAGAACGTAATCAGCTTGCTTGCAAGCGAGCACTGATACAACGAGTCTCCCCAAACATGCAGCAGGAAGAGCCACATTTGTCATGCATTCGCATGCCGAGCAAGTACCCGCCATGGATGCCCGCCTACAACCGTACCAACACGACAAACAAGAAGCTGAAGCGGTTTGAACCTCTTGTTATTCCGACCTCCTTCTTACCACAGAGGTCAAGGTGCAAGGTTGCCGAAGCCGTTTTCGTGTTGCAGCTGCAGACAGTGTCGCCACCTGTGCTGCCGGGCCCTCCCTCTGAGTCTCTTTTGGTTTGGGTTTGGAGGCTTAGGGCTCAAGGAATCAGAGCTTTCGGCCGAAGACGGTTCTGGGGCTAGGTATGTCTAGCGCCGCAGGGAAGTATTGAAGGGATCTGGGATGAAGACATTAACCGCAATCTGTCGACGTTGTTGCAACCTTGGCACTTTTGGGCTTTGGCACAGGAGTTGAGCACCACATTGTGCAGGATAGTGCTCCTGCACGCGCACACACACACAGACATACACACATACACACAAACATATACATATACATATACATATACATATACATATATACATATATACATATATACATATATACATATATATAGATATGCACACACACACACACTTGCGGTGAGGCTTGCTCCACGTGTGGTAGGATGAAGGCCCTGCTTGCTTGGGCCGGTCCTGGGCGCAGCAGACGCCCGCCGCTCTTCGACGGCCAGCAGGGCCTCAAGCTTGGGAATTGCCCTACTTAGAGACTTACTGTTGATGATATAAATCTTGCATAACCTTAAGGACCCTAAACTATGGGAATTATGGTATATTCCTAATTGTGGGGCTAATGGCAGGATGTATATCCTCAACCCGTAGTAATGGGACAACTCGACTCCCCAGAGAGCCCAAGACCCCCTAACTTAAGGAAGATAGAGACCTCAAATCATATACGTAATATTAAGGCCCCTATAGTTTAAGGCAAGAGTCCTCAAAGAAAGGGGGTCTTGGGCTCTCTGGGAAGTTGGGAGCTCCAGGCCTCATGCCCGGGACTGGCCCTGGAGGTTTGAAAGAAAACAAAACCAGATCGTATATACTAGTTGCAGTATACCATCGTATATAGACCTCGTAGTATACCATAACATATATTCTTACAGTATGCCATAGTCTGTTTTAGAATGTCCTAGTAGATTTCATAGATTTTAGAATGCCAGAGTATACTAAAATTCGACACCGTTCACTCCTTCGTCCCTTCGTCTCTCGGCCTGTGGCCAAGGCGAGGCCTTGAGGCGATTCGGATCTGTCATGAGGTCCTCCGAAGAGACGCAAAGCTAAAGGCTCCGAAGTCGGATGCGATCTGTTTGCATTTCGGGTGGGTATTTCGGGGGAATGCTTGGGATTTCGTTTGGCACCTGCACTTCTGAACGTCTGAACCTTTTGCCATCTAATCCCGATGCGGCAGCGAAGTGAATCAACATAGGCTGCTTCCAGCCCCCACCTGTCCTGGACAGTCCCATGTGTGGCTTTCATGTGATGGGGTGCTTCTACATCAGAACTCTACACCAGACCTTTCACGTGTCAGGCAATGAGAACAACCAGACTGAACAACTCTTCGACTCTTTGTGTAGACAGGAGTCTGGTCGCTGTTTCTCTCAAGCGTTTCGCGTAGAGAAGCTATTTCGAGGCGTGCTGGCAGAGCCAGGAAGCTGGCGGAACGGATGAGCGGCGCAGCTTCAACTCTTGCAGCTAGGGCGGTCCAGGCGAGGCTTTGAGGGGACTCCGAGTCTAGAACATCACGGTCCAGATAACTGTATGTATGCAAATCAATGCATCGACAAGAAATCCATCTGAGCTCTGGGTTGAACCGTGCCAAGCTTTCCGTCATGACAGCTTCTGGCAGGCCAACGCCACCATCAATCCCGAGAAGAATCTGATCTTGTCTCCGACCATTATCCAACCGGTCACGAGCGAGCTCACCCTTCGGAGTGTACAAAGCTGACTTGTCTTCGCGAAAAGCAGCACGACAGCTGTTTAGGATCGTGTAATTAGCCTGTTGGGTGATGCAGTCAGTCCAGGGGTGCGGTACCAGCGTCTATCCTCTCAGTCCCAGAAAACTGAGGCATCGGCTGTCACTCAAGCCGTCCTTGCCACCGGAAGATGGTGCAGAGCTAACTCTACGACCGCAGTATGGCAGCTGCAGGGACTTACATCACGCACCGCAGAAGCGTCGCACAACAGTTGCACAAGCCACCCAAGAGTCTCAAACTGCAAAACGGACACCATCCACACGACCATGCCGAACGGGAGTCAGCTACCTTAAAGCCTGCCAAAGCATGCAAACCTTCGCCCCCAATAAGCATCACCCCGTCGAAACTGGGGTGCCCCGGCAGAAACCCGAGGCCCACATGAGGCCACCATCGCCGCAGGTGGGGCGGCTGTTAGGGCTTTAGCGTTTAGGGCTCAGGTCCTGGAGTTTAGGGAAGTTTAGGGCCTTAGGAGTTTGGGGCGTTTGGGGTTCGGGATCCTTTCTGGGGTTTCGAGGGTGGTAATAAGGATTTCAGGCTTGGGGTTTAGAGCGCCTGGGCCGGGGGATTCAGCTCTGAGACTCGTAGAGCTCAGGCCGCGAAGCGGTCACGGAGCTTCCGAGGACTCTGCAGACTCTTTTTGGTGTTCCCTGGCTGCGGCTGGAGTTGACTTCACGGCGCCCTGCGAAGAGTATGGGGACTGCAGGTTGTTTGGGGTTTGGGGTGCAGGGTGCAGCTCTGTTCGCTTCATGAGCTGTAGGCTTTCTGTTCTCTCTGAGCCGCAATCTGGCAAGAAAGGGAGTCAGGTCCAAAACCCTCACACTGGCGCGACAGCTCAAAAGGATCGGGCGAGACAACGGTAGTTGAGGAGATTCTTGGGTTGTGGACTCGCTCATACAATTGGCGGAATGACTCGCGAAGCTTCCGCGACCCGTGTTGAGTAGAAAAGCATTGGCCCCTTGGCAGAACGTGCTTTTCCAAGGCATACCAAAGTCTTTCCAGAGTATTGCTACTGTGTTTTTTTTGTGTTCGGTGTGTCGGCTTCGGCTGGAACCTTAACCAGGAGCTAGGCTGAGTTCTTCATTTCGCTGAGGATTCCTGGAACAAAGACGGTGCCGATGGCGTGACCACAAGCCTGCTCAGCAGAACGCACCCTTTGACCACGAACCGCCACAGTCCACGATTCGTTTCATCGCGAGACTTGCCCGAGGCCGCCGGCAGAAACCATTCCTGGCAGCTAACAGATCCTGCCCTCTGAGACTGATTGATGAAACCTCAAACCCTGAACCCTAGGCCGATGTCGGCCGCCTCCGGCAACGCTTTTTTGGAGCCCCGTTTTGGAGCCAAGGGAAACAGGACAGGGTGGAGGCACCCCGTGGGTCCGTCGGTGAAACTGAAGCGTGAAACTGAAGCGAAAACGCCCCGCCGGATTTCGGCTCAGGTTTCTGCATCTCCTGGTGCCAGATGCAGGTTTGCGAGTGCATCTGAGGCCCGCAAAGGCATACTAAATCTCACAGTACCATGTTTGTCTCGGGTTGACGCAGATTTCCATCCGTTCCAAACTCACCGACGACGTGCATCGACAAGCCGCTTCAGACATCAGGCGACAGTGTCGGGCCCCAAGGCTCAAGGCTCGCGAGTAGGGGATTCCTGCCGGCTCATCCTCCACCGACTCGCCGTCCTGGCTGCAAGGCTTGTCGATTGCTACGGCTTCTCCTTCCACTTCATCGCTCACTACCACCACCACTACCACTCCCACTACCACAACTCCGGAAACGACTACGACGCCCACCACTGCAACCGTGAGTATCTACTGCTACCCCTTCTCCTCCTGCTGCTGCTACCGCTACCACTGCCACCATCAACAGCCGCCGGAATCGGATTGTGTTGCAACGCTGCAAGGCACCTCGCCGTCGTCCTCCGGTAGAGCCTCTGTCAACAGGCTTGTGGCGGCTGCTGGTTACAACCCTTCATGTTGTGGAGAAACATGTGGTCCATCGCAACTCCGACATCCAGAGGCACCCATCACTCCGAATCACTCCTTCCCAGCAACATCTTTAGTGGCACGGGAATCTCAGAGCAAGGCGGGATAGAAGAGCTCATGGAAGATGCCGCCGTTCCTGGATGTCTCTTTTGCTGGGGGCGCCGGGTAGTCCAGGAACTCTTGAGGCTTCTGTCTGCGCGAGGCTAGTTCTACATCGCCTTGCAGGGGTCATGCAAGAAGCGGGTGCCCGACAGGGGCCCAAAAGCTTCTCTAATGAATCCTGGACTTCTAAGACGCTTATGGCCCGCGCGATGCAGCTCCAGAGGCAACTCGCGGACTCTGATTCTCCGAAACAAGAAGCTGAAGATCCTACAGGCCCTGTTAACCTAGTGGTTTCCGCTTCCATTGCTTTTGAGCGGCTTGCGAGCTCCCGCCTCGCAAGCCCGAGCAAGGGCGGGTCTTCACGGCATAGCAGCGACGCTGTAAGGACGAACTTCAACGGAACAAGACCTACCCAGTAACATTAGGCAGAGCTCAGGGTTCATTCAGGGTTCATTCAGCACATCCAGGCTCCCAGGCTTCAGGAGCTCCAGCACGACGGAGACGTTCTGCTCGGTGCCTCGCGCTTCACAGACCCAACTCCGACAAGGACCCCAAAACCTCTTAGGCCCACGACGCAACCAGCCCTCGAACACGCCCACACCCCCCCTGAAACCCAGCCCGTAGCACCCTTTTGCAGTAATTACTGTTGACCCTGCAGGATAAGATCCTCTATGGAACCCTTACAGAAATCCTTACAGCCAGCCTTTTCTAGAAACACGTCAAGAAGCCTTTTGTGTAAACCCGAATAAATCCCCATAAGCCCCAAAGCACACTGTCTTGAAACTTCCCGACCTGGCCCCAGGTCTTCGAGCTGCACCCTGAAGGCCCTTGCAAAGTCCTCCGCCACCACAGGAGGGCCGCTTTGGTGGAGTGGGGGCCAAGGTTCTGGGGATTGTTGGACTTGGATGTTACGCCAGGATTTCGGGCTTATAGGGTTTAGGGTAGGTTCATGTAGGTTCCCAAACTTGAAGGGTCTAGAAAACTCCAGTGAGTTTGTGTTGGTTATAGCAAGTAGCCCCGTTTATGGAGGCTCGGTTGCTGGACATACTCATGGCCGTTTCAACAATACTATCACCGAGTATCGTATCGAACCGCGCGCTCCCACACCGAACCGAACCGCAACCCCACCCCACCACTGCCACAGGCAGCACCGAACCGCACCGCACCGAAAGGCATATCCTCGAAGCAAACCGGAGACAATGCCAACCGCACCGAACCGAACCGTGACACCCACGATACTCCTGGAGAACACTTCTTACAGCTGCCCGCCTTTGTTCAGATTTCTACCCAGCTGCGGGGACCCACATCAATCAGCCCATTGGAAGGGATTCCCCGACAGTACTGAAGGATACTATGCAGTCCTGGCAATCAATTCCCTGAACTGAAGGCACAAAAACTAACCAAATGCTTTCACAAGGGCTGAGTGTTGCGGCCCCGCCCATGCAAGTACGAGGCCAACCGAGTGGCGGTTAGCCTTTCATTTGCCTGCGCACCCCCAAAGATCATAGAGAGGCTCAGCCCTAAACCCTAAACCCTAGGCCCTAGACCCAGAGAACCCGATAGCCCGTAATTAGGGAATATACCTTAAACTATAGGGGCCTTAATGTTATGATTTAACGTATATTCCCTAATTAAAGGGTATCGGGTTCTCTGGGGAGGGATTTCAAGGCTTAGCCCAAGGACATCTTCGGCAGGCTGGGAGTGCCCCGGTGGCCAGGGAATGTGAAGGCTACTTCTTTGCTTCTGGCCTCGGGATACCTCGTAATCGCGGCTATAGATACCAATTGTGACATGTATGTATATATATATATTCATATTCTGTACTATGATATAGTATAATGTACTATAATATACGATACTGAACTCTACCATTACTTCGCCGCGGGCTCACAGGGCCGCAGCGCCAAAAGCAGCGAGTGGCGGAGGCGAGAGCCCAGGGCTGGCCTTAGCGCTCTTGTAGAAATCACCAAATACACAAAAGGCACCCTTTAATCTACGTGATATATATATATATATATATACATACGTATATGTATATATATGTATACATACACATTTATACATGAAATCTGTCTGCGTAATCTGCATATAATGTATATTATCCTTTCTTCATCCCTGCGAATAACCTCTATTCCAATCGTTTGGCTGGCCTGATATTGCCATGTCCCTTTGTCATCTGACCTTCGAGGTCCCCTCTTTTTTGGCCTCCTTTAAGGGGCTGGCATGGGAGGCCAGGCCGCCGCCAAAGCACATGCCTGGGGAGGGAACGTGGATAGTAGGGAAGGGTTGAGGGGTGGGATGAAGGCTTACTAGTGAGGATTGAAGGCCATAATAGAGTTCAGGGAAACGGAACTATAGGGCTTGGACGCCTGGACTGACATGAGTGGGCAAAAGTCTATATGTAAGTGTCTGGTTGGATCCTCCGAACAACAACAGGGGGGTTTCCTCTACCCCTGCCGCCACCCAACTGCTACGTCGTGCTTTGAACCTCGATGGTGCACGATTTATGCTCTCACAACTCGGGCAAGCCAGGCGAGGTTCCACAGGTTTGAGTTGGCGTGTTACGATTTCGACTCACACACCACGGGAGGCATGGCTCATGACGTCCAAGATTGCTACTCGGACTTGCCTAGCAGCTGAAGCAGAGAGTCAAACTGCCAAAGCAGATCGAACAAGGACGGAATTCATAAAAACCTGGACATTGATACGATTTACGCTCTCACAACTCGGACATGCCTGGGCGATTTAGGGTTCAAGGCATAGGGATTAATTTACTTCCAGTCGCAGGCGTCCTGAAGAAATTGAGACAGGGCAGCTGCCATGTCCACGAGTACAGAAGCAACGACTCCGGGCAAGCAATCATTACGAATTGCGAGGTTTGCAATAAGAGCCGGCCTGGAAAAGGGTGCTGTAAGCCAATGGATCGCCCTCCGACGTCACCCAGCATTCCTGGCAAAAGAGGAGCCAGAGGGTTTATGGCTGTGGACCTTCAGGGTTCAACGCAGGCATCCCAGAAGGGAAGCTTTGAATGCAGAGTTTGGGGCTTGAAATGCGCATCTCACAGCCAAGCCAAAGTCTAGCAGAAGCATCCGAGACTAGAGAGCGGATTCTCGCAGGCCGACCGTCTGGAGTTCATCTAGCTGCAAAACCCTGATGGCCCTGATGCCTGCAGCATGACGGCCCGCTGCCACTGCATGCCGAGCTGGAAGGCCTTCGCGGGTTTCGACACGAGGACAAACACGTCTTCCAACTAGAGCCCTTGTTCTTGCAAGCTTCCCGCAAGTCGGTTCCTGCGCCAGGGAGTTCAGAGTGATGGCGTTGCCCTGTAAGCCGGCGTCCTGGCGGAATCATGGATACTGTAGGCAGGGACCTCTTCCTCACCATCGGACTCCTCGTGTTGCGTTGCACTCATGCAAGGATGGACAGGCCCATGAACCAAGGCAGCAAGGATGCGCCTGCAGTGACACCTGTATGGTCAGAGCCTGTGGCCAAGAAGCAGCCGCCGCAAACAAGGTTGCACCGAAGATGGCCACATCGCCTACACGTTTTGCGAAATGCAGAACTGGAGCAGCTGAAGAGGCAGTGAGCATCGCTGAAGTATACAAGGGGCATCGAAGTGCGGCTGGCTTTCTCAACCCAATCCCGAAGCCAACAATAGTTTAAAGGACTCGCGCAGCCGTAGAGAACCTGAACGGCTGTCGCCTGGCTCCTTCGGCCCACGCCACTGGAGCTGGGCAGCACGCTGCCACTGGCCAACCTCTTCAAGTGCAGCAGGATTGGGCTTCAGATGTGAACCAGAAACGTGCAGCCTTTGGAGGCTCAAGACATGTCTCGCTGGTTTTTACGCTCGCTGGCGTTCTTTGCTTATAGGGTTCCCCGGATGCACCCCAACCGGAGGGGCCTCTGCACAAGCAGAGATGGCAGCCGTCTGGGCGGAACCATCCTCGGAAGCCGAAAGCTTCACCAAGTCTAGCGAGTCTAGCGCGACGGGGCGATGGCATGTGGGGACCGGGGGGCCCGTGAGTTCGGAATCTCACTACTGTGCGGACTTTTCAGCTCCTCAGCAAACTGCGATGGCACAGGGGCCGCTCGTTTTGAGCCTGTACAAGGCACTGGATGGTCCCTGGACCTCGCAATGTCCGCAGACTGCAATGGCCCGTGGAACCAGCTGTTGCAGTCAATGCAGGAGGACCAAGCAACTGCGCAGCCGGCTGAATCCTAGCCCGTAGTGTCGGAGTAGGAGTAGTGCAAGCGTGCTTGATCACGACTGTCAGACAGTGTGTTAGTCTGGTTGAAAAGCACTCAAGCCCTCCGGCCACTGCAGGTCCTGCGTGCCTGGCTGTCATCCCGGGACAAATGCCACGCCTTATCCGCATTATCCTTCCTTCCGTATCTGCACTGTAGTACAATATCATCTGCAAAGAGAGTACAGCCAGATGCCGCAGGTGCCCCTTCAAAAAGAAGCTCGTCTCAGCTTGTTGCATCCTTAGCCGGAACCAAAGACCTGTGCGCAGCAGGGCAAGGCGCAGGTGTTTGCTGACTTTGCTCCGTGGTACTTTGGGGTGTTGGGACGTCCACACTACTGTCGGTCCCAGATGTTGGTTGAAAACAAGGCAACCGACAGTTACTCGATTCGGACCATTCGCAAGATTTGCTCAGCATCGTGCAGACAAGAGGCCGTGATGAGAGCATGCGCGAAGCCAGCTCCACCCAAACCCCCAACGGCATGCCAATTGATCATCTCGATGAAGCCTGAGGTTAGGAGGTCTGATACGGCATGACTTCAGTAGCTAGCCTGCTGAAGTATAACAGTATAGCGCAGCTTGCTCGGCTTCATCGCCTGCTGAATTCCACACAAATTTGAAGCCGAAGCAAGCCTCACGCCAGACTTGTATCTTGATAGACTACTGAAGCAATATATCAAGCCACTCCAGGGAATGCCATTCAAAAACTGCTCCGCCCCCAATATCCATCACAAGACGCCAGAACTCGTCAGCTTAGCCAGGAAGCCGGCTCCCGGTTTGTCGCCGTCCTTCGAAGCTGCGATGTCAGGCTCGGAGCGCTTTTGATTTTTGGGGGTGTGGGGTAGGTCAACTAGCCAGTCTGTAGTCTACTATTGGGTAGGGCCTGTTTTGCGAGCCGCCTGTTGGGGTGTTGTTTTGACACTCACACGCGGGCAAGTCCAGTCAAGGTTTGTAGACAAGCTGAGTGTCCTTCGGGTGAAGGGCTCTAAGGTCTCACCGATTGGGAGATTTGGGGATGTCAGTGCTTCGCATCGCATCGCCTCAAGGCTCACGCTGCCGTCCGAACCCCATTTACCTACCTTCCAAAACCCCACAGGCCCGACGTGTGTAATTTCCCTTGCCAAGCTATGAGACGGAACTGGCCTTGTCGAAGCGAGTAGGCTTGATGGTAGAGCCGAAGATCAATCCACCAATCTGTGCCAGTCGGGGCACACGGCACACAACTCGCTCTGTCTGCTTGAAGATGGGACTTCTACCGTCTCAGCGACGCACGTACTGACCAACCAGTCTTGCTCCAGTCTGCACTGGGTTCCGAGCGGAAACAATGCCAACGATAGCGCAGCCGCAAAGCAATCCGACCGTGGCAGCCTCTCAAAGTCCGCCAATGCAGTGATGAACAGCCGATGTTCCCGGCTACTTGCATGGGCTTCGCGCATCTTGCACTGGGGTGTCCAGGCTCGAAGGTTGAGACACAGGCCAAGAACACTTGGGCCGGTAGTGTAGGCGCCCATCAAGCTGAAGACCCGAAAGCCTGAGACGTGCAAGGCCTCAGGCGTGTTCCTCAAAGGGCCGAGGGAGGTGAACGGCCCGATCAGGAAATAGCCTGGGACTTGTTTCAGCTACCCTTTCAGCCCCAAATGCTCTGCTCGTGTGCCTACTGGTCCCACCCGCTTACCTGACCAGGTCGCGCCGCAGGGAATTCTGCCTATGGCCTAAGGCCTAAGGGATCGCCCCAAGATGGCTGTGGTTGCAGGATCTTGAATCTTGGGCTCTGCTGTCGCGAGCCTTTCGAGTGTTCTCACCCGACCCGGTGCAGGTTTCTAGCACCATTTCAAGCGAGTCCCAGGATGGAAATCAATTCTGCAAAGCAATCAGGCCCTCCTAGGAGTTCGCCGTGAAGCCCTGAAACCGGGTGCATCCGCCCAAGCATGGACTTCACCAGCGAATTGTAAGAAGGCTCCCGCAGCTTTCTGGGAAGTCGACATGAAGCACACTAAGCCCGTACAGCAGAGACCTCGTTGGGGGTGCCAGGTCACCGTGGGCCATGCCGATCCTCAGTTGCAGAATGCCCAGACTAGGCCGCAGTTGACCCGCCGTCTTGCTCTCCAAAAACTGCCGAAGGAACGACAGAGTTGCCCCAGGTCTCCAAGCAGAAAAAACCAAAGTTCCCAGCTATCCGGAGTAAAGCTCCTGGAATCGACATACAATTACCGGTCGATGTGCGTTGCGAAAGCTGCTGCTGAAGACTACAACCACAGACGGTTCAGCTGCCACGGCTTCTGCATCCTAGTTTACAAAGCGTCTGCACTGGCCCTTTTCTGTCCAGGATCTCCAATCCTCGCTGCCAAGGTTTCAAGCCCTCGCGATAGAAGGCCAGGGCCTCAGTTGGGGCAGGCGCTCCTGCAGAGGTTAAACAAACCTTACAACTCTTTGGACATGACATAGTCATATTGGTACAGTACTGCTAGTTCCCGTAAACTTACACAGGCTTGCCGAAGGGGGGCCGGAGTGATTCCTGCAAAGGAGACGGTAAGTTGGGGCTGAGCACGGCATGCAAACCAAGAAACCACGGTGACTATGGCGGCCTTACTGTACGGATTATCGACCGAAAGGTCGAAAAGGATCAGGCTGCTGGGCGGGAGTTGCACTCCTGCCATCGCTTGTCCAAATGCTCGGGAATGACTTCCGACTGGGGTGTGCTATCGACCTTTTCCTTTCCTCATGAGTTAGACAAGCTCTGGGCCACATGGAGCACGAAATTCGTAAGCTAACCCCCAGATACTACGGTAAACCCGGCTAATCCCACAGACCTTCCTGCATCCAGGCCTATTCCGACTGCCGGGCAACCCCGAAGAAAGAACTGAGGGCCAAGACAACCCACGACCTGAATACCGAAACCCTGAATACCGAAACCCTGAACCCCGGAATACAAGCCCGGAACCTTTCCACTCAACTGCAAACCTTCAAAACTCTTGTAAACGCCACTAACTGCTATAGGACCCCTGAGACCCAGAAGCCCAACAGCCGTTGCCCGAGCGGCACTGAGGAACTGCTTCGCAAAGAGTCCGCTCTCCGTCAAGGTGATGACCTGGTCGCCTGCAAAGGGCTCCTCGAAAGATAGAGCTCCATCCAGGTTCTCGAGCTTTTCGGGGTTTTAAGGCGCACACATTTATTCGGGCGTGAGCAAACAGGACTATTGTTCTCACATCGCTTGTGCCGCTTGTGCTTGCCGACACTTCTTGTCATCCGGTTTCGCAGAACGACCGAGCAAGCCATCATTATTGGGCTCCGAAGGAATACTGCAGCGTATATTTACGCGGCCCTCGAATACAGTTTACTTACCAGCAGTACAGTACACATCCCACTACTGTGCTCTTACACGAACTGGTTTTCGCCCATCAGGTTCTTCAAGCGTGCATCCCTGACGCTCCGCCCCGTCCTTGCCCTTCCACTGCGTGACAAAGCCCGTGAAGAAGTAGCCGGAGGGGCCAGGCACAGCAAAGGGAACCTTGCCTCCAAACACTTATATTCTTCGTTTTCTTCTTTTATTTTTATTTCTATTATTATTATGACTAGTATTATTATCCTCACTATTACTGCCAGATTGGAATCTAGCTCCACTTGGTCTGGCAAAAGTCTGTTTCCTTCGAAGGCAGAAGTGTTCCAAGTGTGCAGCTACGCTGCCGTGGACGACTGCGATGGACACACAGGTTACAGGCACATAATGCAGCATGCGTGAAATTTCCAGCCCAGCCGGCCTGACATCATCAGCTTCTCGTACTCCTCAATCTCCTCGAACATCGGCGGGGTGCCGACATGCTGCCCAGAAGGCTACGCGCTGACAGCTCGCAAGCTTTCGTTGCGGAAACCCAAGTCCTGCAGCTCTTTCTCCGAGTTGAGGCGGGTGGTGTCCTGGCTCTGGCGTCAATGCTGGATCGGTGCTATTTTGCCTCCCACCTTGCTAGGACAAGCCCGCATT